GTGCCACTTTTCACACAGGAAAGCTAGTAGTCTTGGTACAGTTTATTAATGGTCTTTCTGCCCATTTATAATGTTAACTTGTATTTTGAGAAAATATATAGCAGTGTTACAAACCCAGCTTTAAATATTCAATATGTGGAATTCATTTGTCTAGAAGATACTAAAACCCTTCACCAGTGATGAACTGCTTTCTCTGGTGTGTTCCAGCCTACCATAAATCAGCACTGGCTTTGGGCCCGTGATGGTGAGTTATATATATTAACAGTCTTGGGTCTAAGCCTGTGTTCCCTGCCAAAAATAGTGTATTTGTGTCATTTTTTCAATGAAAGTTAGCAGTAGGTGCAAATTCACTTTATTTTGCTTCACACTTTTGACTTTGGAATAGAAAAGCTTAAATAAACACAGCTTTTTCAACACTGGGATGTTGATCAGAAAGATGTACTCATATTTTTAATCAAGGGACTAACCATGACTATGAAGGTTTTTAGGACTGTGTGAATCTGTCTCCCTTGGCGTTAGAACAGTGCTTAATATTAAGTAATTTAAAGAAGCCTGAATGTCTGTTTGTGTTTATTGTTTGTGAAACACTGTTTTGCTTGTAACTTACTAGGGACCAAGTGAATTGTGGGGCTACATAAACATAAAACATTATTGAAATATTTGAATGTGAAACATTCTAGTTTGAAGAAAAAATACAGGTGAGAAGATGTCCTAGGATGGAGCTATTTTTGCAGGGTTCTAAGTGGTTTGTGTGAATGGAAGGATTAGAGGGCCCTTTGGACTGCTGCTACTTTATTTTTGGTGTGGGAAACATTGTAAAACTAATGATGAAAGTCAGTGCACAATTCAAGACCTCACAAGGTAAATCCTGATGGGAAACTATTTTTTGAAAGATAAATATATTTCATTGTCACTTAATTATCTAAACTATGTTCTTGATGGTTTGTCACTGACTGACAACTTATTTAAGCTTGTGTTTCCAGTTGGACAGAGGTACTAAAGTACATGGTTCAGGGCAATAAAAAAAGTTTGATCTGTGACTGAAAAATGAGAGAACTGCTATTTTATGGCATTCTATAAAGATGTCATAAAAATATCTTTATTTGACAACTATGAAAAAAATGAGGATTTATATTTCAAGATGCTGTTGATTTTTATAAAATAGTCTCTCTGGATTTTAAGCACTCTTGATTTTTAGAATTTCTGGAGAGGCTAAGAGGAAGAAAGGTGAAAAGGGTAAAAGTATTGCAACTATCAATTTTCCAGACCATTCTCTCTTTTTGTCTTGGAGTGTAGGTTACTGTAACTAAAGACAATGATACTTGATGCATAATGAAAGCACTTCTTAATATTATCTCAGTAATTACATGGCAAATATGTCATTCATTTAATGGTTTTAGTAGCTACCAATCTTAACATCAAAGGTAACTTCTAGTCTTCATTTGTAGTAACTTAATGGAAATTGGTAAGTTACAAGTAAGCAATATACAAGAAAAAATGTATTGCAGTGTTTTTTGCCTTTGTAAAAAAAACAAACTGACATTTCACTCGTAATTACAGTAATCAGCTTTGAGTATGTTGTCCTTGTTTACAAACTTTGGGTCTAGTTTACGCTTCACTGAAGTTAGGAAGAGCCATCTTGCTATGAATTTCATAGTTACAAAGGTCATCAGTTTTCTGAGTTTGTATAAAATACATTCTGCAAGCTAGTAAATAACCAAGCTTGCCCATATGTATGTCAGTTTAAAAAACAACTACATTGGTGACAAATTTGTCACCAATGTTGTAAGAGTAGGCTTTATTTGACAATTTGAAATTTGAAGATTTCTACTGATAGTGTGAGATTTCTAGTCTTTCAAGAAGTGTTCATCACCCCACAGTTTTTTGTATTTCTTTTTATTACCTGCATATACTTCCTAGCTGTTACCTTTTCATATATTTCTCTACCCTTTCTGTGATCCACTGTGAAAGTATTTAATTATTTGGTCATCTTTTCAATCTTAAGTATATCATTTGAATTGAGAACTTTGCATTTCAGACACATGCTTCCTCTGCTTAGATTTAAGAATTAATTAGTAGCAGAAGGATTTTGTGTGATATAGGTGTGTGTCTTTGCAGTGTTTTACCAGTGCACATCTGTTCTTTCTGTGCTTAGAGCCAACTATTTCCATACAATACAGTGTGGAGATAAATTAGCGGTGTCCAGACAAAGCTAATAAGCACTACTGAGGGGCAAAATGTATTAGCACAGTATTGAACCCAAGTTAATATATCAGTATGGCTTCCACTTACCTTACACTGTATACAGAGCTATTTGCGTCTTCCATCAAAACCCTGTGGGATACGCCATCAGTGGACTGGCTTTTATGAAAGCCAGGTATACTTTATGGGAAAACAGTAAGAAGACTAAGTATTATTTTCTATGTCTTATGTGTAATTCTGACCGTAGCAGTGTCTGTAAATACTGTAGCTGTCCACCTTGCTAAGTAGCTTTAGCCTTTCTGTCCTGAAAGATGGTATTGTAATGAAGGTGAAACTTGGCCCTTGCATACTGTACACTAAATGTTTGTTCCAAAATATATAGTATGATCATTGTCAGCAGAAGACTTCTGACCAGTGTATTAGTAGTAGTCTCTGACAGAGATGAGTTACGCTTTTCAGTCTCAGAATTTATACTTGTCATACAGTGACTCTCATATCAGGATCTCTCATATTTATTTAGTCCTAGTATTTTTCCCTGAGATGTAATAAAGCATAACAGTACTGCAAAAATATGTGAGGGTTGTGTTAGGTGCATGATGCTTGGCAGATCTGGAACTGATTTTTAAAGCAGAAGCAAGTGAAAGGGCTTTGCCCTGAGGAAAAAGCAGTGCCTTCCTTTGCGCCTCCTTCACTTAATAATAAATAAAAGCTAGGGGATTGTGAAATCCTTAGTCCTAGAAGGGCAAGTGCCTCAGTGTGTGAGTTACAGTAATAGACTCATTGTAAATATGTACCGTAGGAGGGCATGAATTCTGTCTCTCTCTCACTACTGGACCTTCACATTTAGCTCTGGCAAAGTGGATCTAAACAGTAGGTCACTCTGAGATTAGTTCTGTAGTGTCATTACTTCTCACTAAGACACAAATCATGCAATTTTGAGTAGTTCTGTCTGGTTTAAAGCCTGTAGATAATAGCAAAGATAGAGGTGCAGACAAAAAAGTGAACGGACAGTGATTTCTAAAACGATTGGTCTGTATGTAAAGTGAGTATGTACAGAAGGAAGAGATGGCACACTGGCTTTAGAAGTGCATTCTTTAAAAGGCATTTCTAAAATGTCTAGTTCATAATTTAGAATAGTTCAATATAGCTATTAGTGTAGTCATTCTTAAAATAACACTTATGCAAACTGAACAAGTGGGAAATTTGTATAGAAAATGGTCTAACACGCAGAATAATGCAACTGGTGTATTAGATGTGCAGTGGCAGTATTACGATCAAAGTAATACAATCAAAATACTAATTAGGGGTTTTGATATGCCTGTTACAAATACTATGGTTCCTAAATTTCATTTTCCTTATATTAAAAGCTTTAAAATTAACTAATATTTCTGGCAACAGTATGGCATATTTTTTCATTTTTTTCATTTACAAACAACTTTTAAGACTTAAAATAATTGTTGCTGTTTAAAATAATTGAAGTTAACATCAACAGATTTCATCACGTTTTCTTAAATGAATGATGACAATACTTTTTTAAAATAGAATGCTGCTCTAATCCTTTAAATGTGTACATTGTTTATGAACTCGTACATACTGTCATTGAATTCCTAGTTTATTTGCAGTCATGTATCTTTTATAAAAAAAAGTTTAAACCTTTTGTCACTTTCTGGTTGTGAGAGCTAAACTGTTCTTTATGAGGAGCTATACTTACATTCTTCTGGTCAGCATATTGTTTTATCTGTTAAGAAAATTATTTCAGGCTCAAAAAAAATTCCAGTAATTAAAAATAATTTAATTATTGAAGTGGTCTGTGCCTGAACTGAAGCAATAAACATGAAGAAAGCTTATCACATAAATGAGACAGACTTTTGAAAGGATTTTCCTGAGATGATGAGCACTTTCATTTTCCACTGTGAAGGTGCATGTTGTCTCTTGTGGGTGGTTCTACCTGTCTTTAGAGGTTGACAACTACCTTGTATGTTCAGGGTTGCTTCAATTTCTGTTGACTTCAGGTGAAATAGCAGGTGCTCAGCATGATCAAAAAGGGACGTGGGAGACTTCCAGTATTAGTCCCTTCACTTTCTACTGTTCTGATTCTCCACCTGGAGGTGTCTATTAATTCACATTGACTTTAGCAGCCCTCAAATCACTGAAGCACTTGGTTTGAGTCTTAGAGTAATGATCCTCAAAGAAGAATGCTGAATGTGAAAGAGGATAATTTGTCTCAGAAGTCTCTGCCAAATATCTCTAGATGGAGTGGTTTCTATTGTAGCTGTTCCATATGTTTCTCTTTTTCTATACTAAATGTTAAGTTCCTCTGTAATGGAGTCTAATGTTTTCCAGTGGGCACTCAATAACAAAGAATAATTTAAAAAAGTGTATTAAAGATGATTTCAAGCACTTCTAAAGCATGACAAAGCCTTCATTGTTAAAAATAAGGGCCAACATTAAATAACTAGTTTTACTTGGAATATAAGGAAAGGCAGCCCTGAGTACTTGATACATAAGGAGAATCTTTTCCAAGACAGCATAAATATTAATATTTTTTTTGATCTTAATTCCTTTGTGGTAGCACTGTGATACAGTTGATATACATTCTTTACTCATCAAAAGTATTTCATAATAGTGTTCATATTTTTAAAATATGGTTTGGGTTTTATATTTAATGTCAATATAAATTTCATTATATTTTTCATGTCAAATTCTATATAAAGTTTTTTTGTTTTTTTCAGCATAGTCTGTAAGTGTCTTTGCCGACTGAGAAGCTGAAATTATTTTTTGCCAGTGAAAGCTGGAAAATGTTCAAAAATCAGTATCAGGTAAAACAGAAATAGTTTTATTTTTTACCCTCTTTTCATTTCACCTCTGAGAGAACTCAGTTAAAATGGTTTATTCTGGGGGGCAAAAAGTCCAGATACAGAAATGTTTTGGAATGTTTCATTATTCAGTATTATTATAGAAATGTTATGAAATAGTGGGTAGCTGCTGATGCTGTCAGGTCTAGAATGGACACCAACATGGTATTACCAATGGCTTTTTGTCTGGGATGCCTTCCCATGTGGGCCAGGGAAGGCACACCATCTGCTCCCACCCAGTGATGGAAGCAGGCCCAACCCTTAAGGTATAGTCAGAAAACGGGTGTTGTTCTTTTTCTCTTCGTCCAGCACAGGGTTGTGACAATGCTAGTTGCATCATTCACAAACCTTATTATCCCTTTTACTGTTTCCCGGCCTTCCTTTTCACCACACTTTGCCTTCCTTTCTCTGTACCAGTCCCCTCCTGAGAGAGCCTCTAATTACTTTTTCCCCACTGGTCCCAGTATGCTACATCTGTACCCGAAATTGGTATCTGATGCTGTTACCTAGGCTATCTCAGCTTTATATGGTATTTTGGATACTGTTGCCTAGATGCTGTTGGCTTTGCAGGATTGTGCTCCCCAAAAGAAGCCCCATACTCCCCTCCAATTGCTGTGGAGTTTGACAGTCTCTTGCTTAACTCCCCCTTGGCCACTCATGAGATCCAGGCATCCTCCACAGCACTAAATACCTTTTGTCAGCTTCTTGCATCAGTGTTTGTTCAGTGTTTTCTCCTGTCATGTCCGGTAGTTTTCCGTGTTGTGTTCAGTTAGCTTAACCTCAAATCAGGGCCTGCTCAAGGGCTGCAGTATTAACAAGAAATATTTGTAAATATGGGAGAAAAAGCTACTTGTTTCTTAAGATTTGCTACAAGCACATACAACTTGGCAGTTAAGAATCTTTTTTTAACTTTCCGAGAGCTTGATTCTGTAGTCCCTAAAGATGTCAGATAACTTTCAAATTGATAGTATGCTATATTTTAAAATTTATATTGGATAAAAAAATTAAAGAAATATTTCAGAAGTGGAGTTCACGGAATGCCATCTTGAATCTTCTTAGAACTTAGTAAGTCTAGTCACTGGGGTGCTGGCAAGACTGCTAGACCCTCTTGCTCATTCTGACTTGTGTACAATTGCTTGGGCAGCTGAGCATAAAGAGAATTGGGGAGTGCAGGCAACTAGCAATGAGAAGGGAGCAGCAGAGTTGTAATGATTGATTAGGTCAACCATGCTGTTGAAAAAATGCTTATCAAACTATTGGCTGAGTACATCAGATGTCACAAAAAATGTGACCTCAAATGGGAAAAATACTGAAGCAAAGAATTCCTGAAGCAGAGGTGATAAAGCCTACCTTCCCAAGAGCATAGGGTTAGATTCTTTGATGTCCAATAGGGCACATGCTCTCCATAAGATGTTTTCACCTGGCCAGGAGCATTCATAATCTTTCCAGCCCTTACCTTTTTTTGGTGATACTGGTAGGATCAGATCTGCTATGAAGCCACTTAAGTCAGCCCAGAAAAGATAGTAAATTTTTGAGTTTCCCAGCGTGTTTGGTCAAATCAGGCTGGAATTTGGTAACTAGTAGAAAAGTTGCTGGGAAATGTCTTTGACATACTCACATATGTAGACAGAGCCAAACTTATTCACATATATAGACAGATTGTGTAAGCTTTGTTTCTATAGGAAATCAGACAAAACATGCGCTCTGCAACAGCTTTATTTTCTTAGCAGTATGTTTTAAAACTCACTTCATTTGGTAGAAATAAGCCATATCCAAATATAAACTACTAATCTCTTGCATGGTTTTTGAATTTTTGCAATAACTTTGCGCTTCTTAGAGAATGACATTATAAATTAAAGTATTCTATGGTATTCCTTCAATTTTAAGTTCTATCCTCTAGAAAAGCCAAATATTGACCTATGGATGCTATATTATAGTAGTCTAGAAGCTGTTCTTAGTATTCTGCTGTCTGATTGATCAGTAATATGGACTGTGGTAAAAGCATGATGTGAGGAGGGATTGTTCTTATGTACTCATCTTGACCATTGATGATTCAGTGCTGAACGTTTGGTAGGATGATGTATCCTTAAACCATTTTACCATAGGGTGGCCCATTTGTGGAAATATTCAGTGCTCAAGGCAAGAACCCAGGAGCAAAATGGAAGATTTTTGGCAATCCATCAGCTATATGGAAAGTAAGTTTTTAAAGAGACTTATAAAACCTAGAGTATAAACCAGAAAAATGTGAATGAAGCTTAAAATTGGAAGGTAATGAGGGCTTTGACCTGACAGTCAAGTTGTCACTTGCAGTTCTGTCTTTATGACAGACTAAATGACTACTTAAATTAGTTCTTTGTGCCTGCTTGCTCATAGGTTGGTTGCAGCATAATTTTATAGTTTAAATATTTAGGAAGTAATGTCACTATTCTAATAACTAATGGATTGATTTGGGCCTATTGGATCATGAGTCCTTTTGTCAGCATTATTTGTTCATAAAACATGCAAGTAAAGCACATATTTCTATGGATTATACTATTACCATCATATCTGAATTACTGTCATACTTGCAGTGCCATCTGCGATTCAAAAAAAAGTAGCTTTACCTGTTAGTAGCATGGTTGGTTGTGAGGAGAATTGTGTCAGGATGCTTATGTTTGTTTGTTGTTCCTTTTTGTAGGAATATGATAAAGAAGTAAAAGGCTTTGTTTTTGTACTTGAAGGAAGCAGTCAAATCAACAAAATGCAGCTACCAAAGGAAACTAGACAAACTTGTAAGTATCAAAGAATTAAATGTCTGATGTTGTTCCGATTTATTAATTCAGTCATATTGGAATGTAAAACTTGCATTATTCTCCCTTACTTTGGGCATAATTCAGCATTAGCAAAGTGGTTTTTCATTAACTTTTTAGCATGTCAGTTACAAATAAGTAAAAGGTATAGAAATGCCATATTAAAGTAAGTGCTGTAGGGGCGATCCTTGTTGATGCGTGTTGTCTTAGTGCGGCTAGGTTCACTTCTGTACCTGATCCTGCTACAGACTGATGTCTGGCAAATACCTTCTGACTCCCTTCAGCATTTACCAGTCAGTAATTCTATTGGCATTACAGAATGTAATCAGTGTTTGATGGTTAGTATGGAGTGTTTCCCCAGGTTATCTATTACTTGCACCAGAATAAACCAGAATCAAAGCAGTCTGTGTTTCTCAGGGCATACAGCAATCATCATAATTTATGCCTTAAACTCCACTGCAGGGTATTGTACCTTATAAGGTTTATAATAATGAATCAAGCTGGTTTAGAATTAAGCACTTTTGAGGAAAAATTGAGATGAAGATTTTAGATGATGATGAAACAGGAATTATATAATTACAAATTATAATTATAAAAGCAAATTATATAATATATAATTACAAATTAGTTTTTCCAAACCAACACAAAAAATAAATTCTATAGTCTGGTCGTGCACTAAGGTCTTGAAGATTAATATGACTTTTGTAAAAGAAATTTACTATTATCTTCAGTATAATAAATATTGGTCTAATGCATCTTTCTGAGAAATTAAACTTTGTTTATCACTAATGTTACAATAAACTATTATAGCCTAAAATGAGGATTGAGAATTAGTGTTGTAGATTATCACTGCTAAGAACAACTTGGTTTTAAATTTACTTTAGCTAGTGCTGCAATACTACAGTTAAATTTCCATTCTGTCGTCTTGTTTCTTCTCTTCAGGTGTGTGTACCTCAAGTATTTCATTTATGTCAAGTATATAAGTTGTACTGTAATCTCTGAATACTCTTCCAAAATAAGACACACATACAAATACAATTTGAAATTTTAAAGTGTCATTTGACCCACAAATAAGTTCTGAATTGGCATTCTTTAGAAGAGGAGCTAATGTTGTTGAGTCTTGTTAAGTCCATGAAGAGCAGCCCGTACCCTCCCTGATGGAATAACTAAGAAAACAACATACGGTTCAATTCGGACAGCTTAGTACTGTCTCTTTCCCCTGATAGGGAGCTACCTGAATCCTGAAAGGTTTCTTGTGTTTTTTCCCTCAGTTAAGCTCTCTTGCTATTGTTCAAAAAATCAGAAGCCTCCACTGAGCATTGTTGTCATGATTTGGATTGCATTTTTACCCAAGGGTTTTTTGAAGTTGTTTAATAAGGTGTACATGGTCACAAACATGACTGCAGGTTTCATATGACTATAAGATAATCTTGATAGGAAAGTACTACTTTATTTTCTAATTCCTATGGGGTATTTGGTGTCTACATGCTCTTGGAACACAATGTAGAATTGTAAACAAAAAAAGTTCCCTTTATTTTCATGAGAATTCCACTGAAACCACAGATGGGACTTTTAAAACAACACTTTTATTGCAGTTTGAATTGGTTTTCTTCAGGTGTTTCTCGTGTTCATATGTTGTGTGAGCCTTGGGAAATAGTGTTGCAGGAGTATAGCTGTTTGGTACAAAATTGAAATGCTTGATGGTGAAATGTGCATCTGCATGCACATAGCACATGTATTTAATTTTTTCTTGTTTCTAGTGGGACTGATCCAGCGATTTCTGACACTTCAGATTTTTGTGCCATTGGGACGAGACTTCTCCACTGAGTTACTGTAAGATGCATAAAATTTCCTTGAATACTTAATGGCTGCAATCAGGCATTCACTTGACGTTAATTGTGGTGGCAGATTCTGCATTAAAGTGTCATGACTTATCAAGTCAATAAGAAGGAATTAAGCTAATGAGATCATTGTTTCTTGGACGTTTTAAATACTGACATTCCTTTGAAGACAGAACAAACTCTAGAAATTGTGAATGAAGATGGTGAAAAATCTGAAGAAACAAGACATGAATTTATCAAACATATGAAAATACTGGTTCGTGAGGGTCTCCTCATAAGGTTTATAAATAATTATTCTAGGGCCCTTTGGTCCAGGGCAAAAAGAAATATGTATTCCAATAATTGGGGGAGAAAAAAACCAACCAAACAAATAGTAAAAAGCAAGAACAACAAATGGAGTGCTCAGTTGGTATAATTATGTCCCTACTGTAAGGAAAGAGAGGTACAACTGAAACAGGTGTTTTTCATTAGTTTGACATGGAATGATTTAATAAAGTTTTAAACTTGGGCAGTTGTCAGTCTTTGGACAACACTTCCTACCTAGTGGCACCAGCTGTTTATAACTGGCACAACCCACTCAGCTTTGTAGTCAGTAGAACACCTAAGATTTGGATTAACAAAAGACATTATGCCATTAGAAACCCTGCAAGAAAAGATGCATCAAATGATATGCAATTAAACTGAGTAAAGTGAACGCAGAATGTTTTCTTTCTTTCTGTAACTTGGCATTCATCTGTACCCACAGGTGTCAGCTAAGTAAGTAAGGGGAAAGGTTTAAGTCGGGTTTCTTGTAGGTTTAAGTCAAAGAGGATAAAAGAAATGCTGAGAAAATACCATTCCAGCTATACTGTAGTAGAGAAACAGTGTTCATTATAATGTGAATAATCTATTTAATGAAATTAGGATGGTGTGCTATTTTATATTGCTGGGTAATTCTGTGAACTTCCATGCTTTCATGTAAGTAGACTCATCTTGGAATAGTTTTATTTTAACAAAGGATATGCTAGTGTGAACTGAGTCAAATTTATTAAAATTCTTCAGTGGCTTTATAACAATACATGCAGGTATTTTAGTCTCTGTGGTTTGTGAGTTAGTGGGCATTTATAACCTACATCATGTTGGTAATATACATTAATCATTAATATGATTTTAGAATCTGAACACTGAGACTATCTTCAAAGGATAAAATAACTTACTTAGTACAAGTCTTTACCGGAGAATATTTTTGCTTCTCCATGGAGCATGGAAATTTGGGAGAAAACACTGGGCTCAAAGTACTTGTTTTAAAGACAGCTTTGACTGTATGTGTCAAGATCTTAGTGTAGAAAATACTAACATTTTACTAATTTAAAGTGAGAAACTGCTGGCAGGAAAGCTGCAGGTTTTTAAGCAACTGCCCTTTCTCTTTAATTTTTCTTCCTACCACAGCCTTTATATGTTTTCTGTTATGCTTTCCTTTCGAGGTAGTTTTTTTTCTTACCTTATTTTGAATTTTGTTTTGCTTAGATATTAAGGTATCTCTAACATAAGCGTAGCTTTAAAGCTACCTTTTTTTTTCCCTGCAACACAAAGAGCTTCTTTATGTGTCAAATCACACTGACTTTTCTGTTCTTTGAATTTCCTGAGTATAGTTCTGGTTACGCTTTCTGCTCCTACAGTTTTAATTGCTGCATTACTTGTAAAAGTTTATAACAAAAGGGACAAAAAAACCCCAGGATATGTCATGCAGTAAACAGAAACCAAGTACATAGATTAGCTTCTCATAGATGTTCTGTAGACAGATAGCAGAGACTTTGACATGTACAGGAATTCAGTTTTTCTACAGTGTCATATTGAGTTAGGTTCTTTTGGGTACTTGCCACCCATCTATACCTCTTAACAAGAACCTCATCTCCACTTTTCTTTACTCATTTTTTCATCACTTGCTTTTTTTTGATAACTGAGAGTGCTCTCATTTTCTACTACCTTTCCCACTTTTCTTTGCCATTTCTCTTTCCAGTTCATATCTAGACCTCGTTTTCTTCATCTTTTTTACTACTTCCTATTCCCACCATTACTATGTCCCTCTTCTAACAATATATTTACTTCCATAATATGCTTATGTACTTCTATACATTTAAATACATGTATTTTATGTATATATAGTTTATGTAAACATACACTTTATATTACTGTATAAATTTGTATTACTAAACAAACACTATATAGTCACTATATAAATTTACTATATTTAAATATAGTATAACTGTTGGTTTTTCACTTCTTTCTTTCATCAACTTTCCTGATTCTAAATTAGTATTATCAGAGAGCCTGACACAAGTCCTAATTCTCTCTCCTTTTATTATGTGCAGTGATTTCAGTGCCTATGTGCATGAAGTATTCTCGCTTAATACATTTCCATATACTTTTTACAAAATAATAGATGTTTAATTCAGTTACATAAGTTGATCAATGCATTCAAAGTGGACCTACTTAAGGGTGTATATACCCAAAAAGTACAATCTGATTTGTTTCCCACTTAGTGTAACTGGATGCAGAAGTTAATAAAAGTTATTTAAAAATAAATTTAGTACTAAGTTTTGTATTAGAAATCAATTAATTTATTGCTGTACCTATAAACTCTTTCAAGACTTGCAAAACAGCCAGTGTATTTTATCCTAGCAGACTCATGATAAATAATAATAAGTAAATAATGAAGATAAGTCCTTCTTGCTTCAGGTGACTGTCATTCAGTTCACTTCAGACATTTTGAAAGGCATCTCTTGCTTGTTTGTGGACAGAATATTGATTGTGCTGGTGCTTCCTGGAGTTTAATGTTTGAAGATGGTTTCTTACATAATCTGACTGCCTACTAGTGAGTCTTTAAGTAGCTTCAAGTAAAGATTGATAGTATACCAAGCCATCAAATTTACTTTATGTAAAAAACACTTTGGCAAGTTTTGCATTAGCTGCACATGATATTTTATGGTACATTTCTTTCTCTCCCATTCTGCATGGAGATGGAAATATGAATTTAGTTTGGGCCTCATCCTCTCTTTTTCATTCTATTCAGTGATTGATCTGATCAGCAAACAAGAATTTCAAGGCCATCCATCGCTGCTGGCATCAGCTGAGCTAAGCCCTCTAACTAGCTGCTATCAACCAGTCATGTGGGATTCCTGTCATAAATACTGAATATGCAAACAAGTGTTTAAATTAGCTGTTTTGCCTTTTCTTTGGAAGAAATTTAAGTAGAATTTAGGTACTTTGTTAGGTGGTATGATTAGATGAGTATCACCACATTAATAATAATATATTGATCTGCCTAAAAAAATGTGTAAGATTGATTGTGGATGAAAAGTTTGAAGCATAATAAAATTGCAACTAAGGTAGATACCATGTAATTTATGCACCCTTTTTGAAGCAACTAATAGCAAAGCTGTTAGTAATGCTGAATATAGTCCTATGTTGTGAATGTAGTAGCCAGTTGTTAAATCTTCAGTATTACGGATTTTGCTACCTTTCTGAAAAAGCAAAAATAATTCAATGTTTGAAAAAAATATTTGTGTGTAAAAGAAAAGCATCTAGTTTGTGTTGGCATTTTTGGTTTAATTTGCAATATATGGACATGTACAGGTGCTTGGCGTGTTGTCAAACACATGAACATTCATCCTTCTTAAATACTGCAATGCCAGTCATTATTATACTTTATTTCTGATAGGTTTATTTTTGATCTTGGGTATCACATGAAATTAGTACATAATGTTATAGTAAGATTTACAGAAAATGAGTAGAGCTGTTGATGTGAGAGAATAGACCTTCAAATTCTACAACAGCCTCCAAAAAAAGAGGTAGAATGGTCTGAGGTATGAACAAGGATCAGAAGCTCTATTTCTGCTTATGTAATGAAATATTACATGGTCTTATTAGTCCCTGTAAGTTGCTTGGCCTTTTTTCCCCCTGTTCTCTCATACAAGTTATGGGGGTAATATTTATCAATTTATTTTGGAAGTCTATTATATGGAGTTAACTAACTCATTGTATGATACTTTTATATATATGAAGTGATAAAAATAGGAATTATAGTAGATTTAAAAATCTGCCAGTTGATCAAGTACACTTTCATTGATATGCAGGCTAGTGTGTGCTGATAGTACAGATTTAATATTTGATGTATTATCCTATCACTGAATAGAGGCCAGTTTAAGAAGATAGTGTTTTTGATGAAAGAGGAGATTACCAGTTTTGCATTTGGGCATCCAGACAGGACAGAAGGTATTAGCGTGAACACATTTTGTTGTTACTATGTAAGGCGATCCAGCAAGATTAGTGGCAGAACTGGGTGTGGTACTTACTGATCCATTGCTGCAGCTGTTAAGTCACGCTGTCTATCTCAATGATGGCCAACTTCATGGTGCTTCAAACTGCTTGTTTAAATCTTTGGATGGTAAACAGCTGTAAATCACGTGGCATACTTTGTGAAGTTAGGGAGGCTTGAGATCTCATATAAGATCCCGTCATGTCTGTGACGTGAAAACTTTCACAGCAAAAATACACACAGTCAGTGATAGTTGCTTCTCAGAGTCCTGCTTTTGTAGCCCGGAACTTTGTGCCCGATATTAACGTGCTGTGGGATTCTGCTTTGTTGCCATTTCCTAGAACTATTCATTACCTTATGGACTATATTGCTAGCATGAATGTGCTGAGGATCACAGCATGGTTGCTAATTTACTTTAATGCTAACTATGTCACTTTATTCATAATGTTTCAACCCTTTTAAGGCTCAGCTGGCAAAGTGCTTATCAACAGGTTTGTTCAGTTAGTATCCCACTGCTCACAGTCAGATTAGCTCTGCTTGCCACTAGCCTTCACCAGCTTCAGAAGGCATCAGAACTTGTATTCTGAGAGGAGCACACAACATTCTAGTAGTATTTATATTAATAAAGAATTATTTTTCTGGTAAAGAGACTAACCTTATGATATGTATTGTAGTCAGTTATCATTTTCAGAGCT